AGTGTAGAAAAAAATTGACACCCAGATCCGAGTAGAGGAACACCTTTTTTATGACCAAAAACCCATCCAAAATCATAAAAAACATTCCAAAAAAATTCAATTTTTCTTAGGCAGAAGATTTTATTGCATATTCTTGCACAAAATACACCGAAAAGTGTAGAAAAAAATTGACACCCAGATCCGAGTAGAGGAACACCTTTTTTATGACCAAAAACGCATCCCAAAGCATAAAAAACTTTCGAAAACAATTCAATTTTTCTTAGGCAGACAATTTGATTTTAGTAGTAAAAGTCAATTACAGTCGGACACGACGCTTTACATTTATGTGATAGTGGTGCAAGTGGTGAAATTTTTTTTTAGTAAGACGTAATTTTAATCAGTTAACTATAAGTAGTTATAGATATTTTAAGTCAGACAATGTATGATTTTGTTTATTTCTAGTATTAGTAGTAAAAGTCAATATCATTGAGACAAAAGTATGTGTCGTAAAATATTTCCTCAATAATAAATTTTAGTTTTAGTCAGACAAAAACTTTTTACAACTATTTGTTAAAATTGTTAAGTAGTAAAGGAAAATTTTAGTCAGACAATATCTTTTGATAACTTTATTAATTTAGTTTATTTTTATGTATATATTAAGCATTAAATTGGAGAATTGTCGATTTTGGGGAAAGTTCGATATATTCGCGGCTAGGCAATTAATCAATGGCATGTTATTAAGTGCTTTAAGCGATGGATAGAGAGTTTGCAGCTGGAAATCGACTTGTCATCCTGAGTAGATATATATATATATATATATATATATTTAGATATATTTTGACGATACATAACACATGTGTGTATTGATTGTTGTACAACAAACTCCCCCTCTTTCCCCCCTCTCTGTTGGTGCGTGATTTACAGAATATTCAACGTGACCGTTTTACTATACGTACCGCCAACAGCAGGTACCGCATTCTGATGCCTCGATTTTGTGGTAAGGCTCTGTCCAAGTGCCACGATAGTCGCGTCATTTCTGTAACAAAACAATTTAACAATTTTTAATTCAAAAATTATTATTGTACAATATAAATTATAAAATTTAATTTTTATTATTATTATTATTAATGTTAATAATATTATTCCTTTTTATTACAATTATATTGTTAGTAATTTGTTTTTTATTCAACAATATTAACTTTTTTTTGTAATTAATCAATTATAGTAAAATTTTTACTAAGTAACATTACTTATTTATTGATTAGAAATAATAAATTTTACTTTTTCTTTATACGAGCCATCAATAAAAAAGTAACTTTTTTTTTAAATGCCGCAATTTTTTTGCTTAAATTTAATTGATATACAGTAAATGAAAAGAATTTTAATTTGTGAACTTTATGAGGGAGAAATAAAAGAAAAGAGAATAAAAAATGACAGGGTTTTACAACTAGTTACAGGCGTGGAAACAGTAAATGAATTAGCAATTGAATCACTCTTCAAAGCAATTACATTTTATCGAAGCAACACCATTACTCATCCTGATTACTCGATGGTCGGATGAAGTTCTCTTACTTCCTCAAATAAGAACATTCCAAATTATTTATTACCTCGCTACTAAGAAAAAAAAATGAAAAATACTTTTTATTACACTCTTTCACATTTTACTTTATTATATAAAGAAAAATTTTTGAAATTCTTTCTCTTTTCTTATTTTTAGAATTTTATTATTAATTTTAATTGTTAATTTATTATTATTGACAAATTTTGCACTTCCGTATCCTCGGTTTTGTTCGTTTCAACTTTATATTCCTAACGGTAAACTTTATGCATATATACATCCACTAGATGTGTATATATATATATATATATATATATATGTGTGTGTGTATGAAAACAGGAACCATAGTTTCAACAACTAAACAACAAAGTCATATATTTATTCGACGTATGATTGTGTTAGTAATTGTAACAATGGCTAACTATTCCTATAAAGTTGCTTAATTAGCGCCTCCGTAAGTGGTAACAATTTTGTCGTGGCGACACAACAGGACACAAAATTCTAAACAAATTTTACGCATTTCTATAAATCTTGTAAATTATTATATTAGTTGATTTTCGCGATATTGCTGCAATTTATAATTAAACATTCAATTTTCCTCTACTAATTTTAATAGGAAAATAATATTTTAATATTATAATTATTATATTATATTTATAATATTTTAATATTATAATTATTATATTATAATTATCATATATAAATAAATAAATAAAAATAAGTAAAGAAATAAAATAATAAAGTTTTCAAAATCAAATTCATTTTTCTCGAAACAATATATAATTCATTTTCCCTTTTTCAATGTGACGATAAATTTAAGAATTTTCATTTTGTCCTAATATGTTGAGTCATAGTTTTTAAGGGGGTTGGGGGGTGGAGGTGAATTGTGAAGGGGTACAAAGTTAGAACGAGATTGTAAAATTTTTATGGTGGCGATAAAAAACTGTGGCGGAGACATGGTTAAGGTTTATACGGTCCCTAACTGAGGAACTTCTTAACGAAATAGATGTATCGAAGAAAAAAAAGAAAAAGAAAAAAAAGAGTTAAAACTTTTTGAAGCTCAGGTGAATCCTTTGGCTTTTAATAAAGGACCGCCCCACCCCATCGTTCGCCGCCCTGAATGAATCTCTCCAAAGAATAATATTATCACAAGCAACGACTTCCGCAAGACGGAAAAGCAGTTCTAATTTATACTATTTAAACTTTCTTCTTCTTTTTTCTTCTTACTTTTAGAAATATTGAGACTCGCTTTTCAAGAACTCTAATCATTCTCGGGAATTATTGACTTTCTTAAAATATTCACACACACACACGTAAACATTTTTAATTATTATTCAATCAATTATAAAATCGTTTTCTTTTTATTGAAAGCCACATTGTGAGACAAAAAAGTTTTTTAATTAGCCCTTTTTTTCATTTGTATAATTTCGATCTGGATTTTGGAGAAAATTGTAATAATTCAAAAAAGTTGTATGTCTGACTGAAACAATCTTTTTCTACTGATAGAATAGATATAATTTTTTATAAACATTTCGTCTGACTAAAAATAATACTTACTACTTGTTTCAAAAATTTTACGAATTTGTCTGACTGATATTGACTTATACTACTGATACTGATAATTAATTAAAAATATATTACACGAATGTAAATCGCCACGTCTGACTGAAATTGACTTTTACTACTGAAATCTAATACTACGAAATGTTAAAAAATTTACTAGATGAATTTGATTAAAACTAATCCTACGTCTGACTAAATAGGTTTTTACTACTAATTCTAAAAAATATATAAACTTTTTGTCTGACTGAAGTTGACATTTACTACTGTTATCAAAATTTTGCGAATTTGAGTCATTCTGTCTGAATTATATTGACTTATACTACTGATACTAAAATTAATCAAAATCATACATTTTCTGACTTAAAATAACTAATAGTTAACTGATTTTTACGTCTGACTAAAACCAAATTTCACCACTTGCACCACTATTACACGAATGTAAATCTTCGTGTCTGACTGTAATTGACTCTTACTACTGAAATAAAATACTACCAAGTTTTTTAAAAAAAACTAAAAAATCACTCTAAAACTAATCCTATGTCTGACTAAACAGAATTGAACTACTGAAAAAAAAATGCTGGACAAATTTCAATCGTCGTGTCTGACTGATACTGGCTATTACTACTGACAATAAAGTTATTAAACGCCACGTATTGTCTGGCTAAAACTGACTTTTACTACTTAAACCCTAGTGACAATAATTTATTTTATTTCGTGTCTGACTAAAGTGCTCGTTTACCACTGATGCTAAAGTTATTAAAAGCCGTATTAAAATTTGTAGCTATATTTTATAAATTTAATTATTTTTGTCTGACTGATATTGACTTTTACTACTTTTAGTATAATTATTATAAGTCACGTATTGGCTGACTAAAACGGCGTCATGTCACTGAGAATATACTTTTAGAAGTAATACGTTGTGTCTGACTAAAATTAACTTTACTACTGAAATAACAAAAAATCCAATAATTTTGAAAATAAGTCTAATATTGTCTTTTACATACTGATACTAAAATTAATAAAAATTAGGCACTGTAAAAAAATATCTGTCTGACTAAAATTGACTTTTACTACTGAAATCTACTACTCTTAAAATTAAAAAAAAATCCAACTAATACTAACTGTTCTAATACTAAATTTACACTTCTTGAAGAAGGTAATAATAATAGGTAATAAAAAAATAATAAGAATAATAATACTAATAATAATAATAATAATAATAATAATAATAATAATAATAATAATAATACTAATACTAATACTAATAATAATAATAATAATAATAATAATAATAATAATAATAATAATAATAATAATACTAATAATAATAATAATAATAATAATAATAATAATAATAATATTAATAATAAAAATAAAAATAAAAATAAAAATAAAAACAATAATAGTAAAAATTGTAATAATAATAATTCCTTAATAAACTGTCGGGAGAAGCAAAAAATTATAAAGTAAAATATTATTTGTCCAGTATATTAGAACACAGGGCTTATTAAATTGTTTTATAATTGTATATATCCTTTTGAACAGTAGGATAAAATGAATTTATGAATACATAATGTGTCTGAAAGGACATTTTGTTTTTGTATTGAGATTGTTTTTCTTTCTATATATATGTATATATATGTATGTATGTGAACTGAACATTTAAAAGCAGAGAAATATATTTCACAAAAGGTTCTAGTAAATGCAAAAGTGATGCGTGCAAGCAGATTCTAAAATTTATAAAAGCAGAAATTCGTATCACGATTATTGCAGTCGACAGCCTTTTTTAACGTGTCAATGATTTTATTGAAGTTATTCATCAATTTTCATGTTTTTGTCTATCTCTATCTTTCTCACTCTCTCTCTCTCTTTTGATTTTTATACACATGTTTCAATTCTTTTTTTTTGCACCTGTTATATATTCAATATCAATTATTAAAAAAAAATTGACTTTAATAATTTTTTAAATCTTGTCACACTTTAACTTTTTATTTTGCAAATAATTTTTCAATCACAATTATATTAATAAACAAAATAAAAATTGTTTCACTTATTTAGGGTCAGTCGGGGTAAATCCGAACGCTAATTATTTCAGCTTAATTAAAATTTTTAAAAATAAGTTCGATATGAGAATTTTTACCTCAGATCCTCTTGAAGAGATTCTAAGTATTATCCCATTTTTTGTTTGTTAATTAGCAACAGCATAAACAAAGATAACAAGTATTGCAAAAAAGATTGAAAATCAAAGATGACACTCTTTCAGTATTTTGTCTCGTATTTGAAGAAAAAGAAGCTAAAAATTCATTTTATTATTTATAATTGTTTGTTATGAATACTAGAACAGAAACTATTTTTGATTTTTGCCTTCTGTAAAATTTTATTAATAATATCAGACCGTTCGTATTTACCAAAAAAAATTGGAAAACTGGGGTAAATCCGAACGGTATTTTTAATAATTTTTTTTTACATCAAAGCCACACAAAATTGTTTTTATTTGATTACACTATTATTTTAACATTATAAAAGTACATAGAAAAAAGTTTTTCTTTCTATACGTATCCTCGTTAGTAATAATTAATAAGCAGAAACTTAATCTCTGTTCTCTCGAAGGAGTGTTCCACTTTTTTTTGCCAAATGGTTTGTTGAAAAAAGTTTTACAGGATCTTAATAAAATTTGGTATTCTACGGTTTTTGGGGTCGCTAATTACCAATTTGAAGTCAGTTTTTCAAAATTCAAAATGGCGGACGAGAATTAAAAAATTCATTGGATTCGCTCGAAAATTGTTACTCGGGGGGTTTCAGGATTAGCAAATTTGATCATTTTTAAAAATAAGTTTTAGGAAAGTACGCCATTTTGAATTTAAAAAATTTTACTTTTATTTTTGTATTTACATTCAATCACTCCAAAATACTTT